TTTTTTAAAAAAAAAATAAGTTTTACTAATATTTACATTTCATGAAATTTAAGATTTAGTAAATTTATACATACGTATGATATGTGAAGTACTGATGAAAGTTTGGCAGATCTTTTGCAATATAGGTAACACTTATTCTAGATCAATTGATTAATATATAATATGTTTTTATTAATGGTGTCACCTATACTGCAAGAGATTCTTATCATGCATTCAGAATTACGATTATATATATGAATTTATTTTTTTGTAATCTTACAATTACTATGTATATCAAAATCACAGAAGGATTATCACTTGTTTTCAAAAAGGTGTGAACAGACGCATTATAAAATTACCCAGATTTCCAAAACTTTCAAAGCCAGTTCTAATCGATTTTTAATTTTTACTAATGATAATTTTTCAATTCTTTGATTCCTCACATAGGTATGTGAAAATCGTTGTTCACACCTTTTTGAAAACAGCTGTAATTAATAATACCTTAACCGAATGTGAATAAGTGAAAACTTTTCTACTAATTTCTAATGGATCAGGATATTATTACAAATTTATTTATTAATTTTATAGTTTTACTTGTAGGTAGACATTTTGTATTTACGATTTCATTTAGGGTAGCCAAATAGTATTCTAACTTTTTTTTGTTGTGGATTTTGCTTTTTCTACGATTTTTGAAAATTTTTTGTAAATAATTAAGAAGAAAAAGCCCAGTTTTTTCTGTTAAAAAGTTTAATTCAGATGGTGTATAAGGATATCGTCTTGTTTTAATAAAAGCATCACGTAATTTTTCATTATTCTGCATATCTAAATATATTGTAAATTTTATTAGTATTTTAATGAATAGCTACTTGATCGATCCTAAGAATGTGTGGTCAGGGTTGTTGGTATGTATTAATTAGTTATACAATTATGATGTATGCTTGGAATTTCTTAATTTTTTCAGCGAATATGTAATAATTGAGTAAGTATGAGGCAATTGAGTAAATATGAGTCGATTAAGTAAGTATGAGGTAGTTAGATCATAGTATTTTAGTAAACTTGAGGGTCAGCATAAGTTAATTCTGTCTTTTCTATGAACCCGCTTTCATTCTAATTACATCGACCCTTCCTCCACCCTAATATTATTTTGATTGGCCTGCTGAGATGGCAGTCATAAAATTGTGATGACAGTCTCACATATATATAAAAATAGTTTGTCGCAATACCGTGATTTGTAGTTGATACAATGTTGTTTTGATTGGCCTGTGCCATTACAGTCTAATGCATAGAAATAACTGGTCTCAATAACATGATTTGTAGTTCAAAAAAAAAAAAAAAAGAGAAGAAAAGAAGAAAATAATTGGAAATTCAATGCTCATCAACTGTATAGGTTGCTTGATGGCAGAAGAACAATACCTGTTTATGTTTTTCATATAATATACTCATATATAAGAGACAAAATAAATAATTAAAGTACATACCAATTACATAAGCTTGCCTTATAATATTTTTAGCTGTTGAGTTTGAAGAAGTTTGCGCACAAATTTTACTATGAAAATTCTCAACATAGTATTTATTAAAATTTACTAAAGAAAGTTTAAATGCTTCAAAAAATGGATGGTTAGTATCTTGCCAATAAAAAATATCAGATAAAAATGTGAGTGGTGCTTTGTTATAATTATGACGATGCCATCGTAACATAAATATCCAAATGCGAAATATTGTTTCAATATATTCATTAAACGAGCCAGACCGAAAAAGGACAGAATATACTTCTAATACAGTTGGAATCAAATTATCTAAAAGATCAAAAACTGTGCAGTATTCAATATCTTTACAATTTAACCCAAATTTTACTATAATCTTTTCTCTAATTTTACACTAACCACTATATACTAACTCTAATAATAGGTTAATTCACCATGGTTTAGGATTCTTAGCTAACTTTTTTTTTTTGCCAAAAATGAAATGAAACAATTTTTTAAAAAAAGAATAATATATAATCATAATATGCTCTTGGCTATTCAAAGAAACGTGCAATGATTCTAATAGTGAAATAAATAAACCAATCTCACAGGGAATATTAAATGAAGATTTATTTAAATTTGTAATTGCCTTCCGAATAAAAAGCTGACTAAGCCAATCTGCTACAATAGGTGCTACGCAATTATGTAAGTGCCTACTATCTTTATTAATTATTAATACTATTTGACGTGCATTAATATAGTCATATATAAAATGCAAATTTTTTTCTTGAAACCCGATTAATCGCACATCTTTTGTAGATCGTTCTTCTTTTCGCTCACTTATTGCATCATTATAAACATGAACTGTTAATGATTCAATATTATTACAATTAACTTTTAGACCCCCAAATGTGATCTATTGTAGCTTTCGTACTTATATGAAATATCAAATATTCTATTATATTGATGTATTAACCTAAAACAAATATTACTCGCATCAATATTTAGTGGATTGTGAATATGTGCATTATTACAAATAAGAGGAATTGATGCACATAATTTTACTGGTTTGCAAATACATGTCGCAAAATACAAGGATATCGATAGTGCTGTTGCATTAGGTCATCTTTCTTCGTGAATATTATGATAGTCATCCAAATTGTAAATGTATAAAACATTATTCTAAATTAAAAAAAAAGATTTAATTTATAAAAATAAATAATGATAAATTAAAAATAAAAAAAAATAAAAATTATATCATTATTTGCAAAATAATTTCGAATGCTTTGAGGATGATCTTGAATAAGTTTTTTCTTGTAATTATTAATTGTTTTACTATATACACAAACACCCAAATTATGCAATATATCAATAGCTGCAGATGATATTCCAGATGCTGAAAGATACAAGCCAACCTCTATCTCAAAACTATTAATAAACATATTTCTTGCATTGGCCATCATATAGCAAAAACTAACCACAGTTTTTTTGCTTCGATTTTTTTATATATAGATCTTTCATTAGGAATTAGTGCTCTAACTATTTAATCAAAAAACCTACGCAAATGAGAATCAGCATTCTCTATCATTAGTTGAAAATGCACAGGACTGAGTTCAATAAAACCAGATTTATCGCATTGATATTTATAAAGAACCTTTGTAAGTATTTGAACCTGGTTTGCAAATGAAAGACTTTTATTTGATAAAAATTTTTGTGTATTACAATCTACAATTGTTTTATTATTAATGTTGGCTTCGGGATTCTGAATATTACAATGTGCGACCAGTTTATTATCAATGCTTGCTTCAGGTTTTTGAGTGTTTGTTTTTTCTATTTCAACTAGATATTTTTTTTTAAAATTACGATCGGGCTCAACAATGTCTAAATAATGACTATAACATATTTCTTGCCCAATTTCTAAACTATCATATTGTTCCAATGTTCCATTTGTTTGTGCTTTTTTATATACAATAGAGGTAATTTTTTGAAACATAGTAGAGTTCTTGCTACAATTTTGTATGAAACAGGGGCCCTCATTTTTTTTCATAGTGGTAAGGGTGGCAGTGATATAAAAAATACAGCAACAGATGATATTGCCAATATAAATAACAGGTACATATGCAAGTAATAAAATACAAGAAAAATGTACCAGAAAAGTTTTTTTTATTTATATATATGAGAAAAAAAAGTTATATATATATTAGTTATCGCTATATGTCTTGTACGTTTCAAATATTTTATGATAGTAAAATACATACGTAAGAATAAAAAAAAAATCTAGTGCCAGTAGTGTTGTTAGCTGACTAATACGTATCATAATTTTGAACAATGAAACATATAAAAATATGCAACATATTTTTGCATATTTCTACATATTTAATTGTTCAAAATTGTGATATTAGTTGATGACTAAGCCGGCTAACAACACTACCTTTGACACAATTCCATTTCGATAACAATAGCCAGTATAAAGCTATGCTATGTTTAGAAAATATTCCCGGTAAGTACTTTCTCAGTAAAATAATAATAATAAAAAATATAGCATACTCCAATCTTTTCTTAAATGCCTTTAGCATATCTTTAACACAATTCTATTTTTGGCACTATTATAATTACAGTATTATTACGTATTATTACTATGCATTTGTGAGAATTCTGCATTATCTGTGATTTCTGCAGCATTCTGTGCAGATCATAGAACTAAATTGACCAATCAGAATAGAATATCGATCATTGTCGATTTTTTGGATTACAGCCAATTAAAATAAATTTCCGTCTTGCTCATTCTATAGCAGTCACATGATATATCACATGTAAAATTTTTAATTATGGGTCAAATGATTGACACACCTAAATTTTATATGTAAAATTTAGGAAAATTTTGCTTTTTACATATATCTAATAATAAAAAAGTCGTCAGTTTGATTTCACAGTTGTAGTTCGCAAATTTTCTACCATTTGGGGGACCTCCTCATAAAATTTTAAGGGTGGTTTATAATAAAATGATAAATAATCTAGA